TTGGATAAGTTTCAAAGTTGGAATTAAATTCTGCTAACACAAAACATTTTTTTATTCCCAGCTTTAAAGTGGATTTAAAGTGATTAATTTAAGTGATTGTTTGTTTGTTTTTTTAATAAAGGGACAGATAAATTTTTTCTTCTTTCTGCACTCTTTTCATTCATTTTCTTTTTGATGAATTTGTTTAGTTTATTTTGTTTCCTTTAAATTAATGAATAAATGAATAAAACAAAATAAAATAAAAAATTTAATGTCTTTAAACATCTGCTAAGTTCATGGCGTAAACCAACACAGACATGTTCCTGTTTTTAGTATTTTACATCACTTTATAATGTAGCTGTTTTTCTTTCTTTTCTTTTTTTAAATATAACTTTCTTGTATTTTTTAATTCATATTTTTTTATGATTGTCTACTGTTGTACTGATAAATATCTCCAGAAGGGGAAACTATATCTTGGCTGCAAGTATCAAACTGTGAAATCCTTTGTTATCTACACATGACAGCAGTTGATCATTAATTACGATGAAGTTTAGCAACTTCTCTGTAAACATTCGAGCTCCATGGCTTCAGTGGTGTGTTCTTCTTGTTCAGTCTGAAGCAGGCAGTCTGATTTCAGTCTGCCGCGCTCAGTTTGCCCCTCCTCAGAGACGGGCAGACTGAGTGGGGCGGATTGGGCACAGCTGGCCGGGCTCAGACTGCCTGCTTCGGGTTGAGCGAGGAGAGCGCACCGCTTAAGCAATCGAGCTCGAATGTCCAACGTAAAACTAATTTAACCACGGTTTAATGTGGTGCTATGGCTCTGAAGACATTGCACGTTGCCGTCTTGTTTTGTGGTGTTTAGTGTAAAATACGTCCACACAGCGGACATGTTTAGATGAAAAGTTGGTTAGCTGTTAGCCACAATGCTACTGCACGTTGTAGCTGGCTGCAAACTATGAAATGGATTTCCTGAATGTGAGGCGGGTCTTATTACTCTGGGTTCATGAGACGCGCCTCCGCTCAGGAAATCCATTCCATAGTTTGAAGCCAACGTGCAGAGCCGCTGGCAGGGAATCACATGAGAAGTTTCATCATACACAGACATCATGGATCTGAAAAATTTGATATGTAAATTATGCTGGTATTGGAGCCAGATACCGATACAGGATCGTCACCATCCCTAGTTACAATAAGAGAAAACAACTAATAAATAGGCCTGTCACGATAACAAATTTTGCTGGGCGATTAATTGTCTGAGAAATTATAGCGCTAAACGATAATATTGTTTGAAATTTGACAATAATTAGTAATTGTTGTCAAATTTAAGAAGAAATGTTTGTTAATTTGTTTTGCAAGTAGTACCAGTTTTCGACCACCGGATGGCAGGATAAGACAGTTTGAACCGAAGGATGGATAGTGAGGGAGCAAGCAGCGTGTCTCTAAGAAAAATGGGACGGAGGCCCCTTAACATGACATAGGCTGTCTCTCTTTGGTTTTCAAAATGATGGATGCTCTGTGTGGATTGAGCTGTTTAGCATAGCATTTTTCACACAAAGCTTTTAATTAAAAAAAAAAAAAAAACAGTAAACAAGTTCTCAACTTCTTTTTGCAAGGAAAAACAACTTTTTACATGAAGGCATGGGTTTCAACCATGAATTTTGGATCTTCGACAAGATGGAGGTTTTTTCCCTGAGATCGGCTTGTTAGCTTAGCTCATAGGTTAGCTTCTCAGCTTAGCTGCTTTTAATGATCCAAAAATGCTATTTTGGACGGTTCAAACGGATTTCAAAGAGAAGAGAGAATGGGAGGGGTCACTGAAGAGCACCGGAGTTGAGCCTTGTCATCCAGTGTCTTCAGAAAGAGAGCGACACGGAGAAACGATTAAGCCGATAAATGAAAAGGAGGTTGATAATTTTCATTTATCACACGAATAATTGATTTGTTTATTGCGACAAGCCTATTAATAAAAACAGTATTGTTTTCAGTTTATTCACAAGTGTTTGACAGTTCGTCAACATTCTGCAGGCTTCATGCAGATTGACTTGGATTGAGTGTAATGAGTCAGGTCTCGCCTCCAAACATCTGTGACTTTTAAACAGTTCATTAGTGTATGCTTGAAAACCTGCAGGAGCCCACTATCTACAGAAGACCCACACTGACCAAGCTTTCATCTGCGGGGGCGTACACCAACCAAAGAATGCAAGGTTCATTACCCCAGACTGTCCAAATGAGAACGAAAAGTACACAAATGTCATTAAATAGAAGAGAACACAAAATGTCTATAAACTCTATGCAACAAGGTGTTAATGGTGTAACAGCATAGCAACCTGGAGTGATCTTAATTAACATTTTCTATCCCAAAGCAACTGAACTCGCAAAATGAAACAAACAAGTAAAAAAAACAGGAGTTTACAACCGGCATAAAGATTTACACTGGACCACAAACTAGCACATATTTCAAAGAATAAAGAAAAAGAAAAAAAGACTTTGACTTGTAAAACTATGCCAGAATGGGCATCATCTGGCACTACAGGAAGTCAAAGAAATATTTTCATCATGTCAAAGTAGCTGTCAACACAGCCAGCTTAACAAGAACTATAAAATGACCAGTCTGTGTAACAAAGAACGTACGTTTGATCATTTTAAAATAATGCAAGTTTGGTCATTTTATACTTATATGTATATATATATTGGTATATATTTAAAAAAAACATACAATTCCTAATTAATGTTGTTCTTTTTTGAGGACAAGAAATAATTTAGGTGATGCAGAATGAATCAACTGATACAAGCCAACCCTTGGAAAACAAACTAAACCCAACAGAAACGTTCAAATCAGCACAATCACACAAAGATAAGTCTGGATTTCATTTCGTTTAGAAAGTCAGTAAGAAGACTTGAAAAAAATTATTCACAGATTAACCATGATTTCCATTTCTATGTAATGCTTCAGTGAAGCACCCCCACATTGTGGCTGATGGGGGTGCGAAAGCTAATCCTGATAATGAGAATTAGAACATGCACTCGTGCAGCTTGAACAATGAAAACCTTCCATTTAAATTCTGGGAGTATTTAGATTTTAAAAGCCCTATCTGCATGAAATAAGCAGAGAGCGGGTTTAAATAACAGAAGCACCTGGAAATTAAGACGTGCCATGCTTAGCACCTGTTACACGAGTTCTATAAAAATGGTCCATTGGGTAATTTCTGCAAAACTCCAGGCTCACTTACCAGCCTCTGAGCTTGTACGCCTCTGGGATATCAGGGTTGATCATCATGGTGCTGCTGAAGGACGCAGAAAGCGACCGGCCTCCAAAGTCTGAGAGCTTTGCACCCTTAATGGCAAGAATAGGTTGTCCAGCGCCATCAAACTTTTCTGCCTGCGCCCAACAACAACAACAAAAAAAGCCATTAAAACTGTTGCATTTAATCCGTTTAACATTTGAAAAATTCAGATTTATGATCAACCTCAAATCACGTCATCACACTCGTCACCACTGAACACGCAGTACACTTCAGACTGATTAAAGAAGACACTTCTGTTTTCTTTCTTTTTTTTGAGCTAACAATTACATATTCGTTAAATACTTTTTATTACAATAATCTGCAAATATCAGAGGAGAAACAAGAATAGACGGGGAAGAGTGTGTGATGGAGATGGTTAGGGGCATAACGCCTTCATACAAAGAGGAAAATATTTGAACACTTGCAATGCGGCATCGCCATTGTCCTTTAACCAACTACACTTTTTGTTTTGTTTTTTTTATCTTACAGAATATGGGCTTCTTGTCAAAAAAAAATGAAACAAGGTGATTCTTGTTAAGAGAAACAAAAGACTAAACTCAATACAGATACATTTAAGGAGTTTGCTGACTTTATAAAGAAGTTCAAATTTATCTGCTTCTATTAAACAAAACATTGTTTAATTTATTAGAATGACCTAAAACTGCTTAAAGCAACCTTTGACGTAACAGTTTTACACAAAACCTCAGTTCCTAAAATATTCCGCTTTCATACTGAAAAACCTAAGTTCAACTAAGAAAAACAAAGATGATAATAATAAAAAGGTGTATGATGATCTATAACCATCAGAATAAACTCTGTTACTCTCACATTCTAAGCCTGTTCAAAAGGCTGGCCCTCAAAGCTGTGCTCCATTACACAGTTCAGTCTTTGCTCACCTCCTCTCCCCACAGTGTGACTGTCACCATCTTCCCAGACATGTCCATCAGACTTAGTGTTCTCTTGGAAACTTCACGGTTCGTCTTTGTTGTGAGGCGGGTCACCTCGTCCACACTCTTGCACACTCCGATCACATCTGCAATCCAAAACAAATCACCGTTACACAAATCAGTTACGACTAAAGCACAACTGATATATTGGTAGGGCCCAATATTTTTAGACGATAGACATTTGGGGACCTATCTGTATCGGTGACAATTGTCCCATTATGCGCGGATATAAGCACTTCTAATTTTTACCCTTAAAACGCTGGGAAGTGGGAACCAGATGTGCCCTTACTTGCACACAATGTAATTGCACAATGTATCCAGCAGAGGGCGAATGCAGACTACTTTCAAGTCATGGCCGTTCACTTTAGCTGTCACTTTCAGCACAGCCAAAGCAGCAAGCAATACTGTGTAGTGTATATTACTGAACAGAGCACAGTAAGTTTATTTTAACTGTTCTATAAAATAAATCAACAATAATAAATTAGCTCCAATCCTCCAACCCGCTAGTCATTAGCTACACGTCTCTCAAAGTTAGCAAGCTAACGTTTAAATAACCAAACAGGCTATTGCCTATATAATTTTAGCCAGAACAATAAATTTAACGTAGAAGTAAAATAGTTCAGCATTAGTAAATTAGACTGTTTCAACAATGAACAGGGAAGGGGGTTTCTTTGTTCAATTCATATTTTTGATAACTTTTATGGCGAATAGTGCGAATAGTGGAGGATAGAAAAAGTGAACGCGAGTTAGGAAGACTTCAAGTGTTAAAACAGATTTACAAGTAGCTGTTTACTTAAGATCCTTGGGGGTGAACAGAGCTCAAAAATTTTCAGCCATTACATTATGTCCTCACTACGTCGTGGTTCAACTTTCGTGGACTGGCTCTTTCGCTTTTTTTTTTAAGTAAGATTGGACATGACACACATTTGGCTAACTGATGGATGATCCGCACGATCGGCATGGGTTTCGTTTTTTTTTATTTTTATAAATTATTTTAAATTATTTAGCACCTGCTGCACCTGTGAGCAGCCCACAGCTGCAGGAGAAGCCTCCTCCTGCAGCATGTCAGGATCTCCGCTCTGCAGCAGAGAAGTGGGCGTGACCAAGAGCACTGGCAGAGAGCAGCCGGAGGCAGAGAGAGCAGAGATCATGACATTCTGTGCTCTTTTAGAACGTTTAGAGTTCAGAATAATTGTTTGGAATATTGCAAGAGTGTGGGAAGGGTTTAAAACACTTTAATATAAATAAATACTAAAATAAACTACTACTTACTACTATTCCTACTTTGCAGTTTTTCCACTTACTGCGGGGGGCAAGGTACTGAAAACCCTGCGATAAACGAGGGACTAATGTACATCAGTTATTGGCATTTGCCCGCCTCTTCCAATATCCGTTTCAACAATAGCCACAATTTCCAAATAGTTCAGGCTCTAGTTAAGACATTGTGTCTGTTAACAACTACCCGATTCTAAACCTAGTTTTCTAGCATGTATCTAAAATTGTCTTATAACCTGTACTGAATTTTCTAAAGGAAATCAAATTGGGTTTGTCCAATTTGTCAAACTACCCGAGATAACATTTGTTAAACTCAACTGGCACAAAACAAATAAAATAGAACAATCCCATGAGATTAATCTTACTTTTAGATTGACAGCGCAAATATGTGTTTTGCTTCAACCATCACTGGTAAGTACTGGTACATTCAAACTATTGAAACTGAAACAATAAATGGTATTCAAACAGTTTCCACAGATCAGCAGACATACTTTGACTAGACTGACCTGACAAAATCTGAATGTTAAAAGTGTCTGACGATCGAGTTGTTTTTTAATCTTTCCCTGGAACATGTGACGTATAGACTCAGACTAGGCTCATTAACAATTAGGATCAAGCACAAGATGTGAAGCCATTGGTTGAAAAAGTAGCTTCATCAAGATTTGTCCTCTTAATTCTAATCCCTTTCAGTTCTAACCCTGAGCATGCAATTAATAAATATGCATGATGTTGGTATGCAGGAGAAAAATTACTCCAATAGCAACTGCAGATGCAATCTTTAAAATATTTTGATTTTTTTCCCCCATCAATTCATGTCTAAACCTTTGTTGTAGCATGCAGTCGATCTGCACGACAGACCACTGCACTAAATCAGATTTATTAACACACATTTGATCTTCCATAGTATAGCAATTACCTCAATCCTTCAGAGTTCTCGTCACCACCCTGCACAACAAACCGTACACATAATAGCTAATTATAGGAAGCTTAGAGAACACCTCTGCAGGATGTAGGCTGAGCATTAGCTCATTTGTCATTTTTGAGAGACACACGCACACACGCAGTGTGCAAGACAAATAATGTGATGAAGCTTCAAAAAGTGCACAAAACATGTGGACTCGTCCACGTTAGCCACGTGGTTTAGTGCAGTCTGTTATTTGAGGCGACTGTTTAAACACTACGGTGTTGTGTATTATGCAAATCTGCTTAAATGTTTATTGAATAAAACTAAATGATGGCAAAGTAACACATTATACTTAAAATGATAGTGAGTCTTCTTAAAAAGTATTCAATTATTTACCTTTCCCCCTTTTTTATTTTATGATGACGTAAAAAAACTTTAGCACCGACTCATTTTGACAGGTCAGGATGTGGGTGATGTAACAATATTACGCAACTCAGCCTCACAAATCACTGCTGTAAAGGACAAACCTCAGTTTAAGGCTCTGCTCACAAAAACGTGACTTAATCCTAAAATTTTCAAGTTAAGACCAACGTGTACAGTTAACAGAGGCGTTAACGGTACATGAATTCATACTGCAGCCATTTAAATTTGGGTAAACGACAGTCTGGTGAAAAACTTAGTTTTTACATGACCCTGTATGAAATTGTTGAGGCATGAGTTGGTTTTGGTGATGAAAATCCTCTGGAATGCTCCCAATCTGACTAGCTGTTCACTTGACTCTTCATGAGATTTTCTTTCTGATTTTTTTAAACAAATTGTTCAGACTGCAGGTAAGTTAAAGTTTGCTCACCACTCCACAGAATCCCCACTTCCAAAAAAGACCAAACTTTCCCAGCCAGCATACCCACATAGATACTATTTTAAACTTTATGCATAATCCTAACTAGAGAAATTGATTTCCTGCAAAAATACAGTGTGAACGCCTATTGCTAAAGAACTTGCTGAATAAACCACTGAAATGAGCTACAAACATGCTGAAATGTAGCTGAAATGGAAGAACAAGCCAAAGTTAGCAGAAGAAAGCAGAAAGAACACGATTATGTTTAAATACGCAGAAATTAGCATAAAAGCTGAAATTAGGGGGGAAAGGTAGCTGAAAAGGCAGAAAGAAGCTTAAACTACCAGAAGGAAGTGGAAGGAGCTGAAATGAGTTTTAAAAATGGTGAAATAGCTGAAAAAGCTAAATTTAAAACACAAAACAGCTAAATGGTAGCTGAAATAGCAGAAAAAGCTTAAACTAGCAGAAATAAATTATTTAGACTGAAAGTATCAGAAATTACCACAAAATTATTAGAATTTATCTGAAAAATGCTGAAATTAGGTAAAAGTCTTTTCAGCTAAGTAGCTGAACAGGTGGAACAAATTTAAATCAGCAGAAGTTTGCCCAATTGGGCTGAAAGAAGCAGAAATGAGCAAAAAATATTGGAAATTATTTGAAAAAAGCTGAAATTAGACAAAAACAGCTGAAAAGTAGCTAAAAAGGCAGAAAGAAGCTTAAATTACCAGAAGGAAGTGGTGAGAGCACATTCTTGCTGAATTAAGCTGAAAAAAGCTTAAATGAGTGCAAAAATTGTGGAATTAGCTGAACAAAATTAAAATTAGCATAAATACAGCTACATAGCAGCTGCAATAGCATAGAATGCTGAAACTTGCAGAAATAATCTGAAAGGAGCATAACAAGCTGAAATTAGCAGAAAGTTAGAAACACAAAAATGTTGTAAACAGAAATAATCTAAAAGGAGCACAAAACAGCTAAAATTAGCTAAAAGTAGCTAAAAAAAGGCTGAAATTAGCTAAAAGCAGTTGAAAAAAAAAAACTTTAAATATGCACAAGGAAGCTGAAAGAAGCTGAACCAGAACAAAATGTGAAAGGAGCAGTAAAAGTTGTAAACAGCTCTAAAAATTTGAAGGATGTAAAATGAGCTCAGTTCATTTTCTGAGGAAAAAAATGTCAGAAAAGGCTAAATATTTCAAAAAGCTAAAGTTGCACCAATACCAAAAGTCGTAGCAGGATTTTCCTGAACGAGCCGAACATTTTGATATACGATTTGTTGAAATAACAGAAAAACTGTGGAACGAGAAAGATGCTGAAAAACGTACGGAGAAAAAAAAATGGATCGCAATACTGTAGTGTGAATGCTCCATAAACATTCACTCAACAAAAAAGTGGAATCAAATCAAACCGAGTCATGTTACAGCTGCTGTCAACTGAAGTTTAGGTGTCCCATGATGCATCAGATTCTTACCAACAATGGCATCCTTGTCTCTGTTCTCCAAGTCACCGATGGAGACAAAGTCACATTGCACCACGGGAACGTCACAGCTGTCCTCACAGGGGATGATGGTGGACTCCCCGTTGAGCGTCATCTCATAGTCGTTTTTCACCGACGTGTACTGCTTGTTGGCAATTTTCAGCGAACCTTTGGAGAAGTAGTAGACCTGGTTCACACAGATGGATGAAGCACATGTTAATCAGAAACCTGGGGAGCATTTCACCTAACTGCATCTTTCAAACAAGATAGGACTTCAGACAGCAGGGGAGGTGGAAGGCATCAACAAAGGCTGGCAGATGATCATAAGCTTCTTATTGTATGGGTGCGGTGCTGCCAGATGACTCATTCACAGTCTCTGTGGTTTTAACTCACAAAGTGCTGGCAGCTGTTGACGGAACAGCGTGCCGCCAAATCTGTCTTCAACGGCAACGTGAAAGGCAGTTTTGGCGGAGGGCTTCGACACGCTGAATCATTATCTGGAAGAAGAGTCTCACCTTGCCAGCTTCGATCAAAGAATAAAACTTGTCCACTTCTTGGTTGAAGCCAGTAACGCGGATTTCACCCTGCAAGAACATTTTTTATGAGAATTGTTAAAAATAAAAGAAACCGTACAACATTTTCAGCGCAAGAGTAACACAGCCAAAAATTAAAAGAGCAATAATGTTACTTACACTCTCATCTACGATCTCCATGGAGAAGAGTTTGCCATCACCCCGAGAGTTGCTCCACGTACGAATGCTGCTCTTGTTGGTTACACGGGCACGGACTGTCCACCTGTTAAGAGATTTTAAACATAGAAGCTCACATAGGCCAGTGATTTACAGTTTAAATGTCCTTGATTTAGTCGTTTATTCACCAACTCAAGCTGTTAATCTGTCCCCAGGTGGTCTTTAGGAATGTATACGACATCCTAAACCTGCATCATTAACTGAGCTCCGCTGCATATGGCTGTAGAAAGACACTGAGGTAACTAATTAAGAGTAAAAAGCACAGTAAGAGTGCCGACTGTGCACTGGCTGGTGTCAACATAATGTAGTCTTTAATAATGTTATCAGAAATACCAGTGTTTGGTGAATAATCCATCTAAATAAAGGGCAAACAGTCTTTGATAGTAGCAAACCACCTGCATGCACAGTATTAGTGTGATTAGATACGGATTTATTTTTACAACTGAACCTTGTAAAATATATTGAGTCAACTGTTTGTTGCATATAACAAATATAGAGATTACACAGAGGCTGACTGATGTGCAGGGTGGGGGTAAATACCAACAAAAGAAAAATATAAATAAAAAGTGAAATTATAAACATTATAGAGTTGGAAGTCTTAAATAAATAGGACTTATTTTATATAATCAGCTAATAAGGCTTCATTTAGAAATCTGGCATTACCCACATGATTTTATCCATTTAGTCACATGACTGACATCCATCTCTTTATGTAAAGGTCATGGATGTTTCACTTACTGATGTCAAATTAACATAGAACCACGTGTGTGAAGTTTTTTTGTCTGCTCAGAGTCTGATAACCAATAAACTCTGATGCCTTCAGGAACTTTGAGCTGTGAAGCAGAGGTCGTCTTGACCTCCCTCTGTCCGATAACACGTATTTAAGCTTTTGCCGACTCCTCCGTGGGCAGACCTTGGAGATTATGGAGCGACATGCAACACACTGTATGCTTGTCTTTTCAATTGCTGCACACCTTGCACGAGTAAATATGGGTTGACAAGACCTTCTTGTTGTCCTCTTTGTGGCCATTTATTTAATGAGTTATGATAGGATAATTAAATTATCCAACACAATAGATACATTTTTTAACTCGGCACAACCAAAGTGAACTCAACGATTTATTTCAGCAGGATTAATAATTTGTTTGTTGTTGTTGTAATATATTATTAATGTGATCTTTCCAATAATGCATTCAAGTTCATTAAGAACATTTGATGTCACAGGCAGTTTAAAGCCTCAGGTAACCGTAGGAAGTTTCATGAACAGATGGTTACAATACAAACAAACATTAAAATATTGACATTTTGTGTCATGTTTGCAATAAAAGTGCATTTTACTGTTACTGCTTAAAAACTGAGGAGTTGTGCATACTCACTTGGACTGGTAGGGGTTGAGGCTGGCAATAGGCACAACTTTGGAGCCCCCCCCTGGAGTATTTGGTGTAGCAGATGGAGCCGTCTTGAACAAATCTCTTTTGTAACCTCTGCTCACTGTTTGAGAAATGATGAGGAAAAACACATGATCCATGAAATGTAATGATGGAGTCCAAAATATATATATTAAAAAAAAAAGATGCATGCATTATTCAGAGGCAAATTACCAAAACCAAAGTTTTTTTTAATTGCAACTGCTTAATCACAGTAATTATCTCACTTCACGGGAAACATTTCATCAAAGGGAAACGTACTGTCTTGCAAGCAGGAGAGATTTACACAGGAAACAAACACGTTATCAACTGGAGCTGCTGGAGATTTGCGATCCAGCATTTTGGTGAGAAACATGATTCACGTTTCACAGAATCAGAGCAGGGTGTGAAATGCTGCAACAAACTCGAGCCGCTCTTCCTCAAGAGAGAAGTGCTGCCTGACTTGGAGATTTTGCGTTTGAATAAGCGCTGCACATTTGATTTGTGTGCGTCTCACGCGGAGGATTAGAGTTCAAAGTGTCCATTTAAGTCCACGCACTCTTTGCCAACCGCTGCACTTCTGGTAATTAAGCCCCCAGATCAAGCAGCGCACGTAGAGAAATGAACAAGGACTGTGCTGATGAGGAGGATGGTTGCCTCAACCTTAATTCCCACAAGGCAGATTTGAGGAATGAAAACCTAAATCACATGCAAGACGACATCACAAACAATCTGACAGCTGGATTGTGACGCCAACAGTCTCCGTTTATTTCATGAAATACTTTTATTTGGACTCACCTCATCTACACACTACTAGAATTTGTTGCTGCTGCATTTTTTGTTAAATATAAACTCGTACAACGACAAACATAACTAGAGAAATTGCATTTCCTGCGAAAATGCAGTGTGAATGCTTATTGCTGAAAAACAGCTAAGATTAGCTAAAACCTGCTGAAATGTAGCTGGGATTAAAGAACAAGCCTAAGTTAGCAGAAGAACGCAGAAAGAACACAATGTTGCTAAATTAGATTTAAAATAAAAGAAGAAATGAGCACAAAAATTAGGAAATTAGCTGAAAAAGCTGAAATTAGCAAAAAATTTGCTGAAAAGTAGCTGAAAAGGCAGAAAGAAGCTAAACTACCAGGAGTGAATAAGTGGAAGGAGCTGAAACGAGCTAAAAACAAAAAAGTGGAATTAGTTGAAAAAGCAAAATTTTGCACAAAACAGCTAAAAAAATAGCTGAAATAGCAGGAACAAGCTGAAACTAGTAGAAAGAAGTTAATTGTGCTGAAAGTAGCAGAAATGACCGAAAATAACTTAAATTTATCTGAAAACTGCTGAAATTAGCAGAAAAATGCTAAAATGCTATAAAAAGTAGCTGAAAAGGTAGAACAAGCTTACTTAAATTAGCAGAAGAAAGCAGAATGAACATATGTTTACCCAGTTGGACTGAAAGAAGCAGATATGACCACTAAAAAGTGGATATTATCTGAATAAAGCCGAACTTAAAAAACAGCTGAAAATAAGCTAAAATGTCTAAAAGAAAGAAGCTTAAATTACCAGAAGGAAGTGGAGAAAGCACATATTTTGCTGAATTTGACTGTGAAAAAAAGTTAAAAATTGGCTTAAAAACAGCTAAATTGTAGCTGAAATAGCAAACAAACTGAAACTTGCATAAATAAGCTGAAAGGAGCATAACAAGCTGAAATTAGCAGAAAGAATTTAGAAGAAGCACAAAAATGTTGAAGTTAGTGGAAAGAATCTGAAAGGGGCACAAAACAGCTGAAAATTTTTTTACATTTGCACAAGGAAGCTGAAAGAAGCTGAACCAGAACAAAATATGAAAGAAACAGTAAAATTGCCCTGAGACAACTTTGTTGTGATTTGGTGCTATATAAACAAACTGCATTGAATTGAATTAAAAGGTTGTAAACACATCTAAAGATTTGAAGGATGTAAAATGAGCTCATCATTTTCTATGAGAAAAAAAGGCTCAATATTTCAAAAAGCTAAAGTTGCACCAATACCAAAAGTCACAGCAGAATTGTCCTGAAAGAGCTGAACATTTATTTGAGATACGATTTGTTGAAACAACACAAAAATTGTGGAACGAGAAAGATGCTGTACGTATGAAAGAAAAATGGATCACCATAGGGTGAATGCTTCATAAACGTTCACACAATGGCTGCCATGCACTGTAGTTCACACAAGTCCTCATCTGCCACAGATGATTGCTGCCATCTGGTGTCCCATTTCTGAAAACGTGATTTGCCTCCCTTTGTTCCATAAAGAGTACCCGACTCCAGCTTTTAGTTCATGTTCTGCTGCTAACATTAATGTCTGGACTCACCTTCAGTCTTGTTATGTTGCTGCTGTAGTGGGGGTCTGGCTGGAGGGACTGGTGCTGGCGCTTGCTGGAGGCTTTTATTTTGACCTGCAAGAAGACGTTACAACTAACCCATGACAATACTAAGAATCATTATCATGCATTATGGCTTATTGAGCATGCATTTGAATATCATGCATCGCCTGTGCATCTCTAAATGTCAGCAAGTCTTACCATCAAAGTAAGGAGTAGGGTCTCCAATTCTACCATCAACCTCTTCATCAAGAACATCGATTTCCAAAATGATTATGACTCGCCTGTAATCGGAGAAAATACAGCCTCATGTATGCATTTTATAACTCTTGGTATTCTTACCAAAAGTGTTTAAAAAAAAAGAAGTAGTATTTCCAATGAACAAAATGCCCAGCAGAGTTTGCATACCGTCCATCCTTCAGTATGTTGGTCACGTGTCTCTTGAGATTGCACACGCAGTTTTGGACCAGTATGTTCTCCTCAGCCATGTAGTTCAGCTGGGTGGTGAGCATAAAAGCTGCAAATGTGCAGAGAGATAAACAGTTAGGTTTGTGTAGTCAGGATTTCAAAATCCCGTAGGCTTCATATCACATGAAAAGATGGAAAGTTAATGTTTTCGATTGTATACAGTATTTGGCGTCAACCGGATTCAAGGCAGCTGCCACAGCAAAGTGATTTTAGCAAATACATAAACAGCTAAAATTCGGTCACATTTACCAGATGCTGACCTAAAACTTGTAGCCGACAGTCTTTCATCTACTCCATGAGTAAACGGACCAAGCAAGAAATATTGCATGGTTGCACATTATACTGTTGTTTGACCAACATTGCTATAAATCCATCATTTCATTTCTCAACATAAGATAGTCGTAATGTTATGCTTCCTTCAAGAAATTCTAGGCCTTTCCTTTAAAATTTGCAGGCATCAACCCTAGACTGACTCGGTGCGAAATAAAACCACAAAAGCCAATAAAAATGTGCATCACCCTCACATTTCAAATGTCATGGAAATGTTAATCGCATTGACCTTTAAAAAGTAAATAGACAGCATTTATACTGTGCTTTTCGTTTTTTTCTAGTGTTCAACCATTCTAATTTATTTAAAACTATAGAGCCTCATTAATTTATTCCCTGATGATGCATCAGGATAAATTATGCCCCGGGAAACCAGGAGGCCCAGAGACAAAAACTACCAGGCTTCTAATTAAAAGGACAAACTGCTCAATCTTAAAATTACAGCTAGTCTGACCTTTAACCTATATATGTCCTGCAAAGGAAAATGCAGAGAAAGGATAATGTACTGTCTACTGAATGAGGATAATAAAATATAATTCTGGTTGCATTTTTACCACTTTTGAACAATAACTATGCATTTTAGTCTCGATCAACAGATACAGAGCGTGCTGTAGCTTTAACCTCTCTGCATGATTATGAGCACTTCGTTTAGAAAATATTGACCAAATGTCAAGCCTGTCAGTAAAAACTTAAAACGGACATGAATAGAGAACACATTAGAGCACCAATATGTAAAAATGTTAGCGCAATAATAAAAGAAGCTTACATGAGAGAGTGTGACGTCCATCGCTCATCATCACCCTAAAGCGAACTGGCCCATTTCCTCCATCTATCTTGCGTATGTTCTAAAAGTTCATGTACGTCATTAGTTATCAATTAAATTTTTGTCTAGTTCCTCATTAACACAACCATTAATGACAAATTGATCATGATCAGATACCATTTCTAAATACATTGATATCATAACATCAGGGTTCTTTTTTCATATCTTTACATTTCATGGAAACATTTCTTTATACTCATTTCACTCCTCACACAGAAACGCAATGTGCACAATCAATTTTCAATTAACAAACACCGTCCTTCCTGAAAATGAAACAAGCTTTGAATAGTTCCAGGTAAATTATCATTTATGGCCCTGAACAAAATTTGTTGTGCGTTTTGAACTTAACCAGATCTGTAAATTTCTGTATTTTCAATTGTAAGATTTGAACGTATGATCCCTGTAATCTGTATTGTGAATGATATGAACTGCTTTCAGGAGAAATAAAAGTGAATGTAATGTTTTAGAATTGTTACATCAGACCTCCACGAATTAACATAAATAAGGAGAAACTATATAAATATATAAATGAATATATAATAAATATATAGATTTTGCTTTTGGAAACTTTAACTCCTCTTTTCCTGGATGTAAATCACCTTTTTTGGATGATTGTTTCCTCTGGTATCGGATGCTGTGCAGCTGGAAGGATTTTTTACTGAAACTTGTTTTACTTTCGGACATTTGTTATGATGCGTAACCATGACGACAATATGTTGGGTGTTTTTTTTTTTACAACCTGGAGCAGCTGATTAACATCTCAAAAGTTCACATAATATCTCAGTTACAGCCCCAAATATCAAATGAATTGAAAAGGAGGCTCCGTAGATGCATTCCCGTCTCCCTGTCGGCTGTGCTCGAGTGCTTGACCACTGAGATCCTGGAACTAGCAGGAAACGTGGCTCGTGAAAGCAGAAGGACCGGGATCATCCCCCAGCACCTACAGCTTGCTGTCCACAGCAACAAGGAGCTCAGTGGGCTCGTGAGAGGAGTGACCATCGCACTGAGAGGAGTTCTGCCTGGAATTCAGGCGGTCCTGCAGCCCGGGGAAGAGACCAGCCGAGTCTGGGTGGACGGATCTGGCAGCATCTGTGGGCAGTTTCTTCGGATCTGCTGTGGAACGGACCTTTACAAGAGATCCTTCCTGCCTACAGCCATCAGTATCTAGAACATCTCTTAATGAAATGAGGTTAACGAGTTACAACATTTAATTTCCCTTTGGAATTAATAAAGTATTTTTGAACTGAATTGAATATGGAGTGATGTATGATCTAATACCTGCTTGGCCTTCATCAGTACAGCAATACTTCTTGATACTTTGGAAATATATTTACTAGTATTATATTGTGTGCTTTCCAACCAAGTCTCTCATGTGTGATTAGTCATACAGCAAAACATTTGTATACAAATTATACCTAAGTTAATGCTAGTATGTTTCCTTGTACATGAATATTAAACACCATTTTAAAAAGGGCGGTAACTTTTTTTTTAATCCTTAATTTAAATTAAAAAGCCATCACGTGAAATGCAACTGAATATAATTAACAACCTAAAATGTATAATTATTATCTTTATTCACATTTTCTTAAGTCGGTGTGTCAGTGACAATCAATGTAGGGACAACATGGATGCGATAATACACCTCAGTAGTTTGCCAAAATGAAAACATTACGAAAGAAATAGATGTAGCTGAGCTGTATTAAGTTAAACAAAATAGTTCCGATGATAGTTTTTATCAGGTTTACTCACCACCAACTGCAGAACTGCTTCGTTCCAACCGCTGCCATTTCCCAAGGCCTGAAACACAAATAATTAAATGTCACACGAACGTGTAAAAATTAAAAACCAGCGTCTAAAGTCAATGTCAACGACTTTAAATTAACATGGGTTTATTGAACTGTCAGTAAACACAAAATGACTACTTGCTAGTTAGCTTTACAGCTAACAAAGACGACACAACAGAATTCTGTAATATCAAAATGTTGGAAGGTTTTACTTAAAAATACTTCAGTTATGAATGAACGAGTAAAATTAACCATACCTCTATCGCGCCCTCGGACAGTTTTGTCATGGTTCCAAAAGAAGAATTAGCAGCAAAATATAAATGGACTTTAATAACTGCTAGACAGGTGTGTTCTTCGAAACTATCGCTGAGCTTCTAAGTTATGTCTGTGGCGCCAAAGGGTTAGACAGCGCGCGCGAAGAGTCAAATGTGTCGTCGATTTCCGTTTCCGTTAACAGATCTGACTTCAGTTTCTAAAAAGTCACAACAGCAAGCCTCCGTGCATCGTGCGCAACACCAAACTGACCGGGGACCAGCGAGGCGTTTCTCAGCGCCAAACTCATTTTAGTGACGTCAGGTAAATAAAGGACGCGTTCAAAGACGTACCAAAAATGGGAAACTACACGATTTATATTTGTTATTGTTTTTATCGATGGTACAAGTTTTAATATCAAATGCAACTTGTAAAGTAGTTACATCATAACATGAGATGTCAATGTTTGTATGAAGACAATGTCTCACTTTGCATCTATTTTTGTTAGAGGAAACAAAAAATAGAAGATATATTTAAAAAAAAAAAAAAAGTGACAACGCATGCGCTTCCATGACCAAACGCTTCGAGCATAGTAAGATGTGTTCAAGGACTATTACTGCTGTTGGAAAAAAATATGACATAATATTGAAAAAACTTAAAAACAAATGTGTAAAGCACGAGTAGAGAGGAAAGAACCAATTTTCTATTGTGTATTTATGTCAGCATACTAGATAAGCATATACAGTATTTCTGCTTTCAAGATGAAACGGTTTTGTAGATTTACAGTAAGCATTTTTAACCAAGAAACCCACATGGAGCTTTGTATCTGGTAAGAAAAAAGGCTAAAAAAAAAAAAAAAGTTTCAACATACTGGATTTGTCTGATCCTTGAAAAAAAAAATAATAATAAACTGAATCCCCTCTGAGAGGGCACAGCACGGCCATAGACTGATAAGTGTCTTGTGTTAGAATGGTAAATGTGCTCCATTTGTTAATTTTTATTATTTTCATTAAAGTATTCTTGCAAACACAACATTTCTTTCCTTTTTTTAAGATGTCAAAACATTAACTCGTAACAATAATGGGATTCAGATCAATCAATTTATTTTCCTAAATAAGAAAACAAATTAAAGCAGTCCGAGAACACGCTCAATCAATAACACTCAAACATGTTTGCAATAAATGTTGACACCCTGTAAAATACATGCAGTTGAAATTTGAAACATCAGTTAATTTGACAGAACCTTGTTTTTTTATTATAATAGGATTAAAATTTTTGAATTCCCGGACCAAAGAATATTAGGCTTTAAATGTGATTTATTATTTAAAAAATAAGTTTCCATTGTTTATGCATTGGTCTTAGCTTTCCTAGAAGAGATGTACAGGTTTTTAGTCCCTACTTAGGAGGGCCTCCAAATGAACCCCCATGATCCTTGTCAAACGGGATTCCCACTTTGTCTTTGCTTCCAAATTGTACTCTCTGCAGAATCGGAGCTCCAGGATTGGGGTTGTTGATGACACCCATGAAGATTGGTATTTGAGTCACATCATCCATAAGCACAAAGAAGAAGGGTTGACTGAGATGGAAAATTGGATTAGACGCTCTAGAAATGATTATATTGGTGGCTGCGGCAGCCTCCGCACCATCTTCATTTATTTCCATGCTGGACTTGTGCATCACACTGGACACCAGCAGAGGGCCATCCGCAATATCAGCCAAGTTGGGGTTAAGGAACATCTCTCCGAGGCCTAAAACACAGCAAAGGAGAGGGTCAGTTCAGAAAATACACTGCTCTTACCTTTTTACAGTCAAATATTATCAATAAACTAATCTGTGTTGTAAAATAGTTGCAAAGACAAAAAAATTGTTTTACCTAATTTGGTAAGAACTTCTTCTAACTCTTGAGAATACTCCAGTTTGAATTTGGGGACTTTAACCTGGACAGCTGTCTCTTTGGGAAGGCGTTCATACAAATCAGAGATATTCAGCTTCGCAGAGAGTGAAGATACATTCACGTGCCCAGACTCAGGCATGACCACCAACAAACTCGTCAGCTTTGTAAATGGAAACCTTGCTACCTGTATAAAAGAAAATAGATGGTTTCATAGTACATATCACTTTTTGTATAAATCAGAAGCAATTTCTTCAATGACTTCATCTTCAAGTAAGTTTAGGAAATTTGACAGAAAATTTATTACGACCTTGACACTTAAAATGGGTCAAATCACACTATAAAAACTATCAGTCAATAAAAATAAAAAAAATTAATTCACTGTTAAACCATTATGAATAACCAATTATTGAGGCACAGAACAAAACTGTGTATAAATTGCCTTCTAAAAGCCTCGCAACATTTCTTTAAAACTACGTTTGTGGCCAAAATAATCTGCTTATCAAAGACTGGATTTTATAAAAATAAAAACTACAAAAAATGACTTTAATATGACCATGCATGACACATATGCTGTTTTTTCGGCATATTGTTTAGCACTACTAAGTGTTTAGCGTGTTTCTTAGTTTATATCTTAGATCCTGTCTCTTTTACAATTTATATTTTTAATATTGTTGGATGAAACTGGGAACCTGTGTGCACAATTTCATTCCACCTCATGTACCACATGTGATGCGATTGACAATAAAGAACCTTGAACCTTGACCATGACATTTTAAATAGATAGGGCTTAAAATAGATTAAAAATATATTTGTACAAAGAAATGCATAATATACATAGAACATCAACTGATCTGCTGAAGGACAAAAGTAACTGTTCCTTCTGAATTGGGAATCTTCTTTCAAACTGACTGAAAACAGAAGTTCTTGCACAAAAATAAATTGGACTTGTTGAACTGACAAGGAGTGATATTTTACTAAAACGCCAGCTGTCTTTTACCTGAGCCTCCAGTTCATTATCAATGAAACAACTCAGCTGATGTTTGGCATCTTCCATCACATCAACATCCACCATGTGCAAATCATCAAGGTAAAACACACCTCTGGAGGTAAAGTTTGGGTCAAACCGGGCTTTCCATTCTCCTGCAGGAGACACAAAATGGCTGTCAGTTTTAGTCAATAACATAGCTTCATAACATCAGCTTTAAAAATAATAATGTTATTTTTAAAGTTAAAACCAAGTTAGTTAGTTGGGATATTGTCAATTACCTTTAAAGTGGACAGCGTTAATGAGCATGAGGAGCAGATTAGGTGGTAAAGAAGACAGGAAGTCAGTCATCTTTCCGTTTGTTGCGCTCTCCACCCATTCGTTTACTTGCTGAAGGCTCTCCAAGGCTGCTGGTTCAGAGTCATAAAACTGCTGAGATTCGCTTAAAAACCCTTGCTTTACTTCAAACCCTGAAACAAAGAAATCTGTTCAGCTCCGTAGGTCAACACTAGGAGCTACAAAAGATTCTCCAAGACGAACAAAAGGCCAACTTTAAGGAATACTGCACAGATCAGCTAACAAAGGTTATATGTTTCTAGTAACCTTGGCGCAGAAATATGCGTGTGGCAATTTGCAGGTCTCGGTTTCCAAGCTGCACTAAAACATTACGCAGAGACTGGTGGTAGCAGGGGACAGTGTTTTCATGGAGATGATGCATCAGCAGCTCTTCTGTCTCATTTTTTGCCCCTATAAAGATAAATACAAGAAAGAGATGCAGAATAATTGAATGAGGACACTGGTGGTCTCAGCTGAAGAACTGGAAAATATGGTACATTATACAGTAGTCCCTGCTACTTCGCGGTTCGACCTTCCCAAACTCGCTCTTTTGTGGTTTTTCAATGATTGTCAACTTTAATATTACACGTGATTGGGATGATATGGGATAAAAAGTTAACGGAAAAAAATACTTTGGACAGGCGCCACCATTTTGTAGTTTTCTTTCAATAAGTCTATACTGTAACGCCAGTCAAAAGAACTCCACTACCCAGAATCCAACAGTGCTTCCGGCCGCTGCTTTCTGCCGAAATGGAGGGAAAGTTTTACAACGCAAATCTACGCTGTCTATGAAGCTCACAGAACTGGCAGGAATGTCTCAAATAATCCTGAAGCTTCCTGAAGCTCAGTTATCCATGTGCACATCAACCTGGATGGGGCAGTAGGCTTCATCGCTGCAGGGTAGAGCTGTCATTTCTAATCCAGGCCCGAAGCCCAGCCCGACCCGAATTCGGGGCAGGCCAGGCCATGATAATGTGCTGGATGGGAGAGCCGGGTTGGTGTCGGGCTTTTGATTGCATCAGTGGATTAGCCGTGATCCAATTATATGATAATATGGCTTGCCATACAATAATCAGCCGTACACTGTCATTTCACCGAGTACTGACCGGCCTTGACAGAGGTGAAATAAAGTTTAGTTAAGCTTCATATGGGACTATACTATACTGCCAGGAAGCGATCCATCACCCAAATGGACGTTCATTCAGCTGCTGAACTCAGCGGATGTGCGCAGCCGACGACCCAAACAGGTGAGATCCCAAAGCAGACATGTCAGAGTGGTCCGTGTCTGAATAAATCAGAATTAAGGCAGTAATATGGTTCTAATGCTGTTTGACGGCCATGAAAGGACAAATACCCCCTCAGCGCTGCTCTTCTGCCCATTTTATTCAGCCGTGCGTCACCGCAGTAAAGTAAAGCCCCAAGTATACTACTGCGTACGTCCGTTCACGCGTACATACGCGTGTACTGTACACAGAGGGTTCAGACTTGACACTCGAGCGTACACCTTGAGCAGCTGCGGTCAGCTCCACAGACAAGGGGCGTTTACCTTCGGAACAAATCAAGGTTGCCAATTGGTCATTTGCTGACACGCCTACTGGATTGATTGACAGGTTGGGGGGAAAAAAAGAGAGAGCTGGCAGCCGCAGCGGTGTTCTGTGTTTATATGTTGTTAATAAAAATATCTAAACAATTAAAAAAAACAGGGAGCGCTGGTCCTGCAGCCCACACATCAGACCAGCCCAACAGGAAATCTCCAGACCCTCCCGCAGCCACGCTAGACCTGAGTTTATAATTAGTTTGTGACAAATTCTTTCATTTCTCCCCATTTCAGTCATGGCATCAACGGAGGAGGAAGAGATCATTTACCTCTTGGCAAAAAACAAAAGAAAAGGCCAGATCAGTGATGAAGAAAAGGAATTTAATACATTGGTGTCGCATACAAAACAGTCCGTCGCCGGGCAGTTTATTGTGCGACACCGCGTACGTACGTAAAAATTGAGCTTTGCACGACATGCCCTGCGGGGGTACGCTCGTACCTCCGCGTACTTACATATCTCTGCGTATGGACGTACACGAGAGTATACTGGGGGCTTTAGTTTTACATTGGACGTTGGACATATATGTATGCTGTTAAACTTATGTAGGTTTAAGAGTTTAGAACATTGCAAGCATGTGAGAAGGATTTATAAAGCCTTAAAATATAAATACTAAAATAAATATAATGTTCCTACTTTGCGGTTTTTCACTAGGGGTTTGTGGAACGTAATCCCTGCAATAATCGGGGACTATTGTACAGTAGAACAAATTAATCAAATGTGGGAAAGTCATGCATAAGAGAATAACCTCTGTACCTAAAGCCAGTTGAGATAGGGCCAGAGAAATGCTCAAAGGAGATATGATGACATTCGGCTGCTCTGGTGTTGTCTCCAGGTGTTGTAACAGCTGAACTCCCAGTTTCTGAATTGCAGCAGTGATGGTCTGTTGGGACTTGGGCCTCTGACTGACAGACTGACAGTCATTCATATCTTCCTCCGATGACGTCTCACTCGAGGTATTTGTGGTAGTACTTGCAAGAACAGTTGCTTCTGTGGGAGCTGCAGGATCTGGTGTACCACTTTCTTCTTTCTGCGGACAAGATCAGCAAAACAACATATGATCAGATTCCAAGTAGCTACTGTTAAAAAAATATTTACACATGTATTTTTTAACTTACTTCTATGGGTTGACTGGGAATCAAAGGAATGAGAGGGATCACAGGAGCTGACTGATCTTCTGCCACCTCCGCATTCTGTTGAATAAAATGTCTAAATGGTAACTTGTATTCAGCACAAATTCATGTCAGTTTACATAATCTTGAATTATTTAAAAGGAATTTAATGTTTTACTGTGGCTCCTTGGCAGCAGAGACAAATCAACAGGAGTGTCAGGCAGAGGTCCATGTCCTTAAAATGTAACTAAGAGAAAATACTCGATCAAGCTTTATATCAATAGCACCTTTCATAAAAGTTAAATGCATATCAAAGTGCTTTACAGAAAAAATAACTACTGTATTTTTCGGACTACAAGGTGCATCGGACTATAAGGCGCAATAACAATGAACAGGTCTGTTTTCATGCATAAGGGACACCGGATTATAAGGTGCATTAACAATGAACAGGTCTGTTTTCATGCATAAGGGACACCGGATTATAAGGTGCATTAAGCAAAACAAAACATATAAGTCAAACTTTATTCAACTCATTCACAATAACCACATAAAATCTGTTCGAGGTCAGTAAGCACAACTAGAATTAATACATAAGGCACACCGGATTATAAGGCTCACTGTCGATTTTTGAGAAAATTAAAGAATTTTAAGTGTGCCTCATCGTCAGAAAAATGTGGTAGCTATCTTATAGGATAAAGCTGTATGTAACATCCCCACTGAACAGATGGGTCTTTAGTTTAAGTGTCCAGATTTTGGATTCCTTTCAAATTCTCTGCACGCCAGTCCAGTCTTGGTACGGTGATGTTAAAAGCTAAATCTTCAAAGGTTCTTGTTCTGTTCAGTGGAACAGCTAAAGGAGGATCTGGGTCGTCCTGGTTCATAAACCAAAACCATCTCTGACAGTCTTGCGCTTGGCTGTGAAGGGCCTTAAAAACAATCCCAAATTCAACAGAGAGCCATAACCGCTGATCTTTTTTCTATAGCAATAAATTTAACGTGTCCTATTCAAAGTATTATTTGCACACCGATTCTGTTTTCACACTCACTTTTACTTGTACACACAAAAAAGTTAAAATATAATCGATTTCTCCCCCCAAAAATACAAAAAAAAAAAAACCCTAACCCCGATCCATTTTAAACAAATAACCTGAAAACACATTTAAGTCATAAAAGGATGATGCAGCATATACACAAATAAGACTAAAACATTTTTTATCATTTACCCAGGACGTTGAAGCCCATCAGCATGGCTGATTTAAGATTCCAACATAATATTAGTCACATTTTGGGGCAAAACAAAGTTTAGCAGAGGCATTTTTTTGATCCCCAGCTTAAAATAGCATTCAAAAATTAAAGTAAAAAATTAAAAAGGGTGATTTTCATGGCACCTTTGCTTACTTATAAGACCCTGCACAAACACTATAAGGATAACTTAAAGCATTCAACTCCTAAAATCAACGAACCTATGCAACAACCTTAATAACCAGTTATTAAATTATGCCATCTTACCTTATCACAAAAAAACTTGCTGCCTTGTCCAAAAAAGGAGAACCTACTGTACTGTGAATGGCTGAATTCCTGAGAGTAAAATATTGGCATTTGCTCAGCAAACAGTTAAATATCAACTTCCATTGATCGGCGCCTCATTTTAACCACTATTTGTTTGTAAATGCAGCCACCGAGACTCTTCCAGGTTAAATACCGAAGCTTCACAAATGTAGCTGTGTTTTGCACATCAGAGGACAGGTAATGTGACAAAACCTAATATGTGACAGGGAGCAAAACATCTTGCAAAAAAAGCATTTAATCCAAGTGCAAACATTTCAGATTGAGGCATTTGATGTCAGAGAACTAACCCACGTTTCCCAGAAAGCAGGTATTTTGACATTTCTGTTGAACAGGAAACATCTGACTTGTGTCCAAGGAATCCAAAGTTGAAGTAGCGACAAGAATTTTAGTGAACGCTTGAAAGAAATGAGGAAAAAAAAAACTTTTTAGTTTTTAGCTTCAAGCAGAAATGAAATCTTGGGCATCACGTGACAGGAGTCCGCAAACACGAAAGGGACTTTGTACAATCTGTGCACAAATGATTCAATCAAAAGCAGGCTTCGAGGACGAATCACAAAAAGACTAGAACACAGAAAAGATTGAAGCAGATTTTATTAAACAAAGTTAATAAATTAACATTTTCTTTGACTTCACGTAAAACGTTTGACATTTTATGCTTTTTAGTTCCACTTCTGGTTTACTAAAAGCAATTAAGTTTAAACGGTGTAACATTCTTTATAAAAAGCAGTCGGAGCTTCTGGCAAATAATTAGAAAAGTACTGCGTCACATGACGGCTCAAATATCGCTTCAACAGTTTGATGCTACGAAGGTTTCAAAACTGGAATAGGTTCAGGAATCAAAGCTTTCTGTTAATTAGATTACACAAAAATGTTTGACATATTTTTTGTATACATTTTTCCCTGTATCCCTAAACAGATACATATAAATGTTAATATAGAAAAGTTGTTTTTCTTGGCGTTGACTGGTTGTGTATTATTTTTGTTATTTTGGAGTCGGAACAGCAGCATCTGCTGCGAAACCCATTTAATGTTGCTACAGGGCTAAAGAATAAATCTACGCATGATTTATTTATTTTTTATCCTGAAGACATTTCAAGTGATTAATTTGCAGAATAAAAACATTCAGTATTTAAAATCTGAGTGAAACTCTACATAACGTTACAATTCGGACCATTCTTGTGCAGTAAAGGTTGTGCATTTGTCGTTTTTGTTTGTCGGCTCTCTGAGTAGGCACTGACACTGCCATCACAACAGCAAGTGTACATTTATTTGTTCATGACGAGTACACAAACTGCTCGGAAACAACTCGACAAGGAGGAACAATAACAGAAATTATTTCATCTACAAATACTGCATAGTTTCATCAGTGCAATTGGATTTACATAGAATCATCACGAAGGGAAATGGAAGGGGAGTTCAGTGTTTTTGGTTTTATTAAGCAACTATTACACCGCATAAGACCTTCCTGAGCACGTCTTCAAATTGATTCTTTTGATCGGAATGGTTGACCTAGGCAAAACAATGAGTTCATTGTCAAAACAAGTTTCCTATTATCATCTAAATGTGTAGGAATTTAAGAGTGAACAAGAAACCGTCTACAGAGTGGGACACATTTCCCATTCATGAAGTACTTGTGCAGGCAGCCACACTGGCATGATTTTATGGACAGAGTTCCTACAATGCTGCCGCTTATGCAGCCTTGTAAAAAAGTAAAAAATAAACCAACAACCTGCCCATACAGTACAGCTGGCATCTGTGTCTTTGTGGAGAAAAGACTATATATATCAGCGGAAAGAGTGTTTAAAAGCGTTAAGTGTAGTTAGGAGCTACAGTTTTAGGCTAATAACCTGATGGCGCCATTTTCAGAGCCCAGCAGCAAGAGCCGCTTAGTGGGCAGGACCGCCAGGCTGGTCAGAGTGCCGCGGAAGTTCTCCGAGCTCAGTTTTGTGCTGCTAACGGGGCTCAGGGAGATGTCGGCCATGGAGTACACCCCGATCTTGTTAGCTACCGTTCCAGTAACGATCTGGGAATTGTAAAGGTCAAAGGCATGGATGTGATCCGACTGCGACTTGTACTGGCGAAGAGGCTTGTTTTCAAGGTCCTTCCACACGGTCAGTGTGTAGTCGGTGGAGGAGCTGATCACCAGATTCCCCTCTGCAGCCTGAAACGTCAAACAAAAAGGAAAGTTACTGATGATGTCAAACTTGGAAAACACCGAAAATGTCATGTTACTTCCAAGATGTGGTTGAATGCAAAAATTTACTTTATACATTAAAACAAAACGGCAAATATCACAATTCAACACATTTAAACTAAGTGGCTTATAGTGCACAATTCATAAAGTAATAAGAGAAAATGTCCTATTATGAAGTCCTCAGGACAAATAAAGTACCTATCATACAATAACTTGTCTTAATTTTGACATTTGTAATTGCACTTTTAAAATATAAATAGTGAATTATCAAAGTGGCCTTTCTAATGAGTAACCTGTGTTCATATTTACCTAAACTTGTGCCTTCAAAACTAGAGATACAATCCTTGACCTAGACCGGGGTTAAATAAAGTTTGTGCTCTGTTGACAGCAGACTCATTGGGTACAACTTTCATCACCTCCTACACACTCCACTGGGGAAATTCAAAATAATTAAACCAAAACATATGGTATTAAATAACGAGCAGATTTATTAATAAACAGTTTGAATAAACACTAATAAAAACGTATCAAAACAGCAATAACCAACACAAACAACCCTAAAATGATTTCAGGTTTGACGTAAATTATGCGTAATGTGGGTTGATCCAAGAGAAGTAAACAATATTGACTCTCAATCTGGCTAATGAGGCAAGTTTCGCTTGTAATCATCCAAAACTTTCCATTGTTTACTAAAAAGGCTGACTCGGAGCTTGTACAACCCACATTTGGTTGTTTATTTTACAAATTAGCTGTTCTACTACCCATCTATTTAGCTGCTTAAGCTTAAACTTTGAACTACAATAGTTTTTGAGAATTTTTTTTTTTTAAATAAGTAAAATTTTACGAGAGAATAATTTACTACAAGATTCTTGATAAAGATGATGTATCCTTTATTATAAACATCTACTATTAAAGGAATCACACTGTAAGAGAAACTAGTCCTAGTATTTTCTAACTAAATCAAATAACCAAATACAAATTTGACTGTAAAGAGAGCATTTTTTCCAAATGTTGCGTCTCTTCTCAGCTTGTGTCTGTTTTAGTGCGACAGTTAAGAGTCCCACACATTTGACCCATGTTGTGAAACACAGTCTTACTAAATGTACCTGGTGTGGCAATGGTTTAAGTTGGTGTTGGCAAACGTGTTTGTTTTTTTTTAGCTTAAAAATGAACAAACGAAATAAAAACACAGACTTTTAATTCATATTTATAATGTGACTATAGACAATCTGTAAATAAGACTACAAGTATGGCCAAGTAGTTGGGAGTTCTTCCAGTTTCCAGTAACAAAAGTTTCTGAATTTTTTCTTCATATTTTTTTAATTCATCTACTGAGTCATGATGCAAAAAGCAGAAGAAGTCACTACCTTTTACATTAGCTTGATATGGCAGAGCCACAGAAAAAGGGAGTTTTTAAAGGATTAAAATATATCCATCCATCAATCAGCTTTTGCTTTTTTATTGTTGAAAAATAGTTTTATTGGTAACATTTTTAATTTTCTTTTTAAGATGCATTTAAATTAGGTCTTGATGTAAATGGGATAACCCAATAAGTGTATGATTACTAGGCCTGTCACAATAACAAATTTTGCTGGGCAATTAACTGTTTCAGAAATTATTGCGATAAACAATAATATTGTTCGAAATTTGACAATAATTATTAATTATTGTCAAATTTAAAATGTTTGTTAATTTGTTTTGAGTGTAGTACCTTTTTTAAACTAACCGGATGGCAGTATAAGACTGTTTGAACCGAAGGATGGATAGTGAGGGAGCAGCATTGTCTCTTTAAGAAAAATGGGAGGGAGGCCCCTTGATGTGACATGGGCTGTCTCTTTTTGGTTCTCAAAATGGTTTGAGCTCTTTGGCATAGCATTTTTCATACAAAGATTTTAATTTAAAAAGCAGTAAACAAGTTTGCAGCTTCTTTTTGCAGTGAAGAACTTTTTACACAAAGGCACAGATTTCAACCGTGAATTTTGGAGCTTCCATAAGACAGGAGTTTTTTTCCCCGAGGTCAGCCTGTTAGCTTAGCTCGTAGCTTAGTTTCTCAGCTTAGCTGCGTTTAACGATCCAAAAAACATAATTTTGGACAGCTAAAACAGATTTTAAAGAGGAAAGGGAGGAGTCAGTGAAGAGCACCGGAGTTTAGCTTTTTGTCATCTAGTATCGTCAGATAGAGAGAGACACGAAGAAACGATAAAGTCGATAAATGAAAATGAGATCGATAATTTTCATTTATCATGCGAGTAATTGATTTATTGTTTATTGCGACAGGCCTAATGGTTACTGCATGTGCTACACTCATATCCCATATATAATACCAAAATGTAAAGATTATGGGCTCCAGTAAACATAACAGCACTAACTGGTTTGAGCCCAATGACCTTTGTATGTTCTTCATTCTCTTTTTCGGCTTTTCTCTGTCCTATGGCATATGGGGGCATAAGGATTTGAATCTACATACCTAAACATACACACTATACCTTCATTTGGAGAATATCCCCTTCATGAGCTGGCCAGCCCTTAAGTACAAGTCCTGTGCGTGCATCTAGCAGAACAATGAATCCAGACGAGAAACCTGCAGCCACTGTGCGTCCTGAGGGACTTACAGCCAGGTAGCGAATGAGCCCAGCACTAACATTGCTGTATGCTAGGCGAAATTCGTGCTGGAGACACAGGGGAAAATTTGTCACTTTCAAGGCTGAAATAACATTATTTTTGAAGTGTAAAAAGTGCTCTTTTTTCAAAGACGGTAATGAATAATAGCTGGTGGGCGGTAAAAGGCTTTTTTCCTCGAGAGAATGAGCCTTCTAAGTGAAACTGCTACCTGCAATCCTGGTTTTCGAGGATCAATGAAGCGGAGAACAGAATCTGCACTGCCAAACACAATGCTGCAGTGTGGAGCTGGCATGGTGGTGATGGCTGTAATTGGATTCTTCCCATCCACAGATTCATACAAGCGAATGTGTTTGCCTACAGACAATTAAGAAAAGGTAAGTACATGGGAAAATATGAAAGAAAGACTAGTCTTTACTAGAAAACAATTTCATACACGAGCAGAAAAGTATTGTAGCAAATTTGATGTACCTGTATATTGGTCCCACACATGGATAGTACCATCACAGCTAACAACTTCCTGAGTAGTTTCGAGTTGTCCAACGTAGAAGACAGACTTTCGATGTTCACTATATGTCAGCTTGGGCTCCACCTCCTGTGTCCCATCACCATGATTATAAAGAGGCCAGAGTTTCACAGTCTTGTCTTTACTTCCAGAAAGGAAGTAATCCTCTCCAGCCAGCGGTGCCAAACACTTGACAGTGCCTGAATGACCCAAGAAACTCTGCAATCTGATCTGGTGAAAGTGGAAATGTGAATCTTGTTGATTAAGACCAATCTCGTACTGCCAGTAGGCCAACCAGTTTCCCTGTAGGGAGCGGCTACTACGAGGGAGCTCTTGCTTCAGGGCACTGTCCTCTGGGGAGGGGCCCGTTATCCAGGAGAAAAAATTAGATGAACCTGTTGAGGAAGGAACAAAGGTGGAGGTAGTGGTGGCAATGGGAGTTGTGAGACTGGAACGTCCCCAAGAGCTGGCCAAGCCGTGGTTGGCGTTGCTACCATACTCGGTGTCAGGGAACACTTGAATACGGTTTCCGACCAGGTGGCTTCCAAATGTGCCTGACTCAGGGACGAAGTCTTCCTGTGATGTGGCGTAACTTGAAGGAGCAGGAAATGGACTACAAACCACATTTCTGTCCAAACCAGAGGATGGAAAAGACTCCAACCTGGATGATGAGGTACGGTTTGTCTCTGAGCCCACCTGACTCACACTCTGATGGTAAGACTGGGCCAAATGCCAGACCAGTTCATGATTTGGAACCAGTTTCCGGATAGCTGTGTCACCTATAAACATCACAACAGAACACTGATTTACGCCAATGTGAAGAAAAAATATATATTTCCTGACAAAAGCATGTATTGTCATTGTAATTCCACTTAAACAACATCATATAAAGTGTGTTATTCTTACCTATAAGGCAGTAGAAAGGGATATAGGAGGCATGAGCCATCTCAGGATTAAACACTGACTGCAACTCCTCTAAGACTCCCAGCTCATATGTTACATTGGACTCTTCAGGCATGCAAACATCCACCACTGTTACTTCTCTCACAATTCTCCGAGGGGCATCATTCAGCTACAAACAAATTAAAATAATTTGATTGTTAACTTTATTTTCCAATATGTGCAGCTGGATGGCTAAACTTCAAATTTATCTGATCCAACAAGAAATAAAAAAAAACATTCTTTGTACTTCAACTCTGTCAGTTGTTATTGTATGTTTCTGACATTTTTTAAATTAGCCATTTTTGTGACAGATTTGCTTGTTAAAAGTGTTCAAGTAATAAATTCAGCATGTCTGTGTACTGCCTATGGATACTTTTATCTTTGTGAGAACTGAACGCATACCTTGAGGGTTAAAAACAATCTTTTTGATCAAATAGATTCATTTTAGCTGTTTCAACTAGAAAGTTTGAGCTAGTAGTCTGTGCATGTTGTGTCTGGAAGCATGCGTACCTGAGACTGAAGGGACTGCAGGAGAGAAAAAACAGCAAAGAACCGACGCAGTGTGTCAGCCATGTGCTGTTGCACCATCTCCCGTCCAATGCGCAGACAGATGAGAGCCATTAGGCTCAATGTTTTGACACAGACAGCTGTGCGTGTTTGCACCCCACTGGGAAACCTACACAATACAACATAATACATGAAATAGAGAAAATAACTAAGAAAATCAGAAGATACTGACTGATCTAATGTGACATGGTGTGTAGGTTTGTGCTGCTTACCCCATTCGTGGCGTGGTAAGAAGATCTAAAAGTGGAAGTAGAACATCCTGATTGATCTTCATCAGCATGTCCATCAAAGTGGTATCTGAGAGAAAGACAATGATCTTCTGTGTAAGAGCAACAGCGCCGAGAAGACTTGCTTCCTTGCGTGTATTTAGACGCTGTGAAGATGGCGGAGACACCTGAAAAATATGCGCTTTTGTAAATTACAAGTCAATCTTGGTAAAATTTTACAACTACCACAACAACAAAACACAAATTGGTTCTTTATGAAAACTGCTCATTAATGCAACTCTGAATATTTATGTTTTTGTTTTCCTAAGATCTACTGCCTGTGTCTTACCAAATATCCTATATAAGGCAAGAACTGGTAAGTGAGCACAGGCTCTCCATAAAGTTGAGCTATGTAGATGAGACCATCCAGAACAGGCCCTGCTGTTTGATCACCAACTACAGGTTTCTTCTCATAAACGCTGCCCATTCCCATACTCTCCAGGTGGCTCTGCTCTGATGGGGAGGCCACAAACTGGTGATTTTCAGGTCCTACGTGAGGAAAACACAAACAATAGCACTGTGTCAAACAGTAGATATGGTTTTATAGATAATACAGTGCTAAAAAGTTCACACACCGATGTAACAGTTTGTAAGCAACCGCAGCAAATTTCTGGCTACATATCGAGACGTCACTGTTGGTCCGAGTTTTGCCGAGAGCCAGCGAACAGTTTTGCATACTGTATCTGTGAATGGGAAACCAATTAAAATGTTACCGATAATGAAATGAACTGCAAAATAACTTACAATATATTCCATAATTGACTCACCTAAAAGAATCTTTTGCTCTTTTTCCTCAGAAGTCTCTGATGGATCACAATCCTCCTCTTCTTGTCCTTCCACAGTTCTTTTCTCAGTCTCTTCTAGTGTCAGTCCATTCAATGTCTCACCTTCTAGAGTTGCAACTGTGGCTCCTGAATCAGTGAACTCTGCGTTAAGGGCAGCTGTGTGATCTCTCCCCTCTTTACTGTCATTAATGACCTCTTCTTCCTCCAACTCTCCTCCTTCCTCTCCCTCACTGGCATGTTTCAAGTCCTGGCTACTGTCAGCTGATTTCAGACTGGCTCGATCCCGCACAGAGTCCTCACCCAGTGAGAGTTCACTCGTGCTGCTTTTGTCACTTAGTTTTCCCACACTAAAAGATTCTTGATCTTGGTCTTTGGATGATAAATTCTGACTATGCTGCTTCCCAGAAGCCACTCCTGCTTCACTGTTCACATAAAACTCATTCTGAAAGTCCTCTGCATCTGAAAGAAACACTTGGTCACTGAGACTAATACCAGATGAGTAATCAACCATCCCGGCATCTCCAACCAGTCCAACACCTCCACTAACCCCATTGCCACCCCCCATGCTACCAGCAGCAGACCCAGATGATGGTCGTACCTTGCCACACTGAAAACCTTCATCCTCCTCCTCTCCAAGATTGCATATGTCTGTCCTCAGCCCTTTATAAGTTTCACCACCAGTGCCTGCGATGCAGCGCTCAAAGCCAGTGATGACCTGCAGCACATGAGGAAGTAAGTTTGAGAGAAAGGCCTGCAGGCCAAGTCTCATTATGAGCTGAAGAATGAAACAGTCAGTGTAGAGATAGAAACGTCCTTTGAGGCAGTGAGGGTTTTCATAAACATTGATCAGTGGTTTTAGTAGGTACTTATTTGCGTTTCTGGGACCCAGTACTCTAGAGATGGGTTCAAACAAGTACCAAGCTGCATAGACAGCAGTGGACTCCTCAAGCATCAGGGTCAGAATGAAGGGCAAGAGAATCTCAAGACCCTCTGCTGTGAAATTACTCCGTAACAGTGCTTCAAGCTTCTGCCAAAGGTGAAAGACAATGTCTCGTCCCTGAGGGCTACACACAGTGCCCATCTTGGAATGATAGGAAAAGATAAAATTATGAAGTGAAGCAAAATAAGAAGGAAAAGGGAAAGGAGTGATAATGGAGTTCAGTAACTGGTGAGGGTTTGGAGGAGGAAGACCGTCACAGATGGGGTCATATTTGAAAAGAAGAGGATCTGGGCAATCTGATATATTCTGGTGAGCTCCTCCAGAGCACTTCTCTATCGGCAATAATGTCTGAAGAGCATGGTGCAGAGAAAGTGGCAAATCACAGAGGTTTGAAGAGCATAACTTCATAACAGCTTGGAAACGCTTTCTGAGGGGGGTTTCTGGTTCCAGTCCTCTCAGTTTGGCAGAAAAAAATATTTCCGCAATTAGAACACCAAGAGCTTGCATGTCTCTTTGATAAAGATGTGTAAGAGATGGCTGAGAGTCAATTATCAGGTCCTCTGTCATGGAACCACTAGATGTTGTTGGATGCCAAACTTCAGCATGAAGACTCTTTACTAAGAAATTATTCAGTTTCTCCAGCTCTTCTAAAGGCTGCAATGGATTGAAACCTTCTGGAAGAATGATCTTAATTTCTTCCGCATTTGTGCTCAAGACATTTTCTCCTTGTTTTTTGTTTACTGACACACCTCTTTGCAACACTGCACTACGTAAACCAGGACCTATGCCACTTGTGAAATCACCTGGGAATGAACTTGGAGACTGAGATGCAAGTGGTGTGAGCTCTCCACCCATCTTTCCTCCACCTGCACTGATGGTTGGCAGTGGGATAGAGCAAGACACAGAAGTGGATGAGGCAGAGGAGGCCAACGCGTCCAGAGCCTCTGTACCTTGTTCAAGCTCTTCATCTCTATCTACCATGGTCCAGGTACTGGACTCGCAACCTGTGGATTCTGGCACCATTCCATCTACAGTGTCAGTCACTGTGTTAATTGGAGGAATGTGTAGAGAAGGCACACTAAGAGTAGCAAGACCAAAAAAGGGTGGTTCTGCTGGAGCATACTGAGATGAAGATAAACGAGGTGGGTGGGGCTGGTCAAACAACTGAACTACACCATAGGATGTCAGGTTAGTGTGGTGGTCCACTAGATGGAGGCACACATTCTTGGCCTTAATAGCATCTTTACCAGACAGTTTATAGCCAAATGTGAGGTCTATCCAATGATGCAAATGCTGAGACACTTCTCTGCTCTCAAGAAAGCGCCGATGGACCTCAATAAACTCTTCACAGGACTTGCACCAAGAAGGCACATCCAGGTCAGGCATGTCTGGATGGATTGACCGGAAAATAGAAGGATCTGTGTAGAACTCTGGAATGCACTCATCAGGAGTCCAGCTCTGCATGCGCTCCATAGTAGCTGGATACTCATTGGGCTCCCACTGGGATCTGACATGACTGCACAACACTGATTTGGGTGTCTGTCTGGCTTTGTAGACGTAATAGGTAATGTCTGACAACACATCAGATATGTGATGAGGTACATGAAGGTGCTCAGACTGTCCAGTACCTCCAGACCCCAGACCACTGAGGTCTCCACCTATACCGCCTACACCCATCCTGTTACCTCCTGCAACTGCCAAAGCTTCTTTAGTCATCTCATATGTAAAGTCCAGCTGCTTGTCTCCCTTATTAAGCCTGAACTTTGACCTCCTGAGGTCTCTAAATTGTCCAAATGGCACAGTAAAATCCACAACCCATGGCAGGACTGGGTGATAATTAGGGTCTCCTTCTCGCCGTCCTGCTAACCTGTTCAGCTCCATCAAATAATGGAAATTACTGATACGTCCATGGACCCAGTCCAGCACCAGTGTCTTTAGCTCATCAAAGCAATCTTTGCAGATTCTATTGTTTTCTTGGCTCAAAGATTTAATTTCTTTTGGCAGGGTACTTTTTGGCTCTTGTCTTGCACCATCACCAACTTCCTCCTTTTCTGCACCCAGGTCCTCATAATGAGCAAGGTTGAGTTTGAGGTGGCTGCAGAGCTGCTCATCTACTGCTACATCCTGAAGAGATAGCTCTCCACAAGACAGCCCTACTGCATGACATGCCTGCAGAGCTATTAGTACCTGGTAGATGATGAACAACACTTTGGCATGGCTGTTAGCAAGCTTGGCTGGGCTGAAGGACACAATGTCGTGAAGGGAATACTGAGTATATGGTAGAATCACGTACACCATTTCTGCTGTCTCAAGCAGACATTCTGCTGGAAGGACATTAGGACAAAGAGTGTCTGATTGGGGTTTAGAGCAATAAGAGGAACCAGATGGCAAAAAGTTGTCTTTGTCCTTCTCTCTGGCCGGAGAGACAGATGGTGACACGTTGTCAGGTGAGATGAAGGTCAGATTGAAAAGCTTCTCTAAGGCATGGCACACTGCATGTACAGCTGCAATATGCATTTGCTCACTGGGTCCTGTATATGTTTGCACAAGTTTGTAATGAGCTTCCCGCCACAGATTTCTGAAGGGAAAAAAAGAGAAAAGACATTAAAATACATTTTATTTTTCTCAATCATGCATTGATTTTGCTGTAGTAATTTTGAGCTAATTTCTATACAACTACACTTCAAACTAACTGAACAACATATATCTAGTTCTAGAAATTGTAATTTGGCAAACAAAAAATGATCTTGAGATTATCTATATATAAAAAAAAAACATATACATTTTTTTATTATTCCACTCAACAAAAATATATTGAATTGAAAAATAAGACCCCTTGGGATAAAACATGTGAAAATGCATGTGTGCACCGTACCTGACATTATGCTGTGACACACAATGCATGGTTTTGACATATGAATCTTGCATTTCCGTTTGGTGGTAGCACGAGTCTCTGATAAGTCTGTAGCTCAACTTGCTTTTTCTGAGACCCTGAATGCAAACTCTCGTCCAGCCAGGAGGCAGTTTTGCTTGGGAAGACCGCAGGTATGTGCAAATTTCTGCTGCACTGATGCTTTCAAAGAGAGCACAGCGTATGACCTTCCTCTCCCTGAGGCTCATTACCCAACGCAAAGGAACCAGGGCTACGACCTCTCGAGAACGAGGCCCTGGACCTAACTGCCGCCGATCCACTCCCAAGTCTTTCTCGACTGCTTGCATCAGCCAATCCATGGTCAGCCTTCAAATGTTTGCTTAGAGTTCTCAGCTACTTTTACATCAATGCTTCCCAGTGGGTATACGATTCAGAAATCCATGAAGAAAGTCATCTAGAGCAGACACACTATCCTCTTTTACTTGTTATTCTGTAAAAACAAGAGAAAAATCGAACACGCACACACAAAAAACATGAAATAAGCAATGACTTAAATAATATTGCAGTTGTTGTAATGAAGGAGTGATGTCAGTGAATGAACACGGCTAAAACTACAAGTTCCAGAAGCGTGAGCTTCTCACGTGACTGCAGTGGATCTATCAACATAGCTAACACAAGAACTTTACAGTCTACATTTCTCTAACTTTTAGCACAATTAATCCACCACTGTTTGCACATCTCATCCACTTCATCTTAAATTCATTCAACCTTTATTTATACATGCTAGTTTCATTCATTGAGCATCGAGGACTCATTTACAAGATGAATTTGATGAATTTAACTTTGTGGCTGATTTAAATCAAAGTGAAAGCATCGCAAACTTTAAACAGATTTACTGCATGTTTTCAATGCTGCAAAACTTCTTTATTTAAATGGCGGAGCAACAAAAGCAAGTTAAAGGTTTAATAAGTTTAAAGAAGTCATTAGGGAAGTGAAGCTAGCTAACACTTTAGCTTACCCGAAGAAGCTAACGTTACAATACCAAAGTTGAGCAAAGCACAAAGCATCATTAAGTTGGTTAGACACATTATAGAGTCAGTTTGCTTCGTGTAACTCCACCGTAATAACAGAACAACAAACAGGCTCACTGATAAACGCAGAGCTCACCTCTCACCACGGAGGCTAGTTGGCGTTAAGCTAACGACGAACCCCGCGTTTCACGCATGGCAACTTTGTATCACCTCATGAGTCTGAGACACGCTGAGGTCTGGAAGCTCCATTTTCTGATGTTTAGAGATGCGTTTGAGCAGACAGACGACAGTCGGTCAGTCAGCCGAATGTGTATGTTGTTCAGAGCCAGTCCTTGAAGCCATGTTTTACAAACTCGACCTCACGTGACACCGCAGCGCCACCAGCTCATGTGATTCCAGCCGCTGTGACTGAGACCGCTTCACTTACTCAATGTCATCCAATCAAACCAGCACAGAATACGGTTGAAATGCTTCATACAGAAGAAATATAGTCTAAGGATAGCCATAATTTAATCTACAGGTAAATTAGCTACGTAATAAAAAGTTAGCACACTTCCAGTGATAAAAATCCACGTTTGTGCAGTAAAATTTCCGCTTTTTGCAATTTGTTGTCTATTGTTCCTTAACTAATTTTACTCACAATGAAACTGATTTATTCCGTTTTGTATTTTACACTTTTATGGCACTGCCTTGTTTGGCTACATTTTAAAGTGCTTTTTTAGATTTTTAAACGCAGTATGGGAAAATAAGTGACACAGACACTGTGACAGTGAATGCACCATCAATGCTGAACAGTACTGTACATAAAGGTTTTAAATTAACATTGCACTTAAAATGTCAAAAACGTCTCCGTAGTCAAGAGGTATACTCAAATTTTAAATGGTTAAAAACGAAATGAATGAATACCATGCCCCCCAAATAAGCTTTTGCATTATTATTATTTTTTTTTCATATAAATGGGTTGCTATATAAGTTTTCCCCACAAGATGGTAGTAAAATGATACATTCACCAGCAAAAACCCATGTTCATTTCAGTGCTTTAATAAAAAATAGTGCTTTCTGTTCTGCTTTCTTTAATAGTATGTTACATAAATTCAAAACTTCCTATTTGAGAAGTAATTTTTGTTCATGCTAGGTGTCATGTATAACTTTAGATAGATAGATAGATAGATAGATGGATGGATGGATGGATGGATGGATGGATGGATGGATGGATGGATGGATGGATGGATGGATGGATGGATGGATGGATGGATGGATGGATGGATGGATGGATGGATGGATGGATGGATGGATGGATAGATAGATAGATAGATAGATAGATAGATAGAT